TGGGTAGATTAAATACATGACATGGAGATGACTTGTTGACTCCACATTGCCCATGTCTGATATATATACACATATACACACACACTCACACAGTGGGGATGGCGTTCTTTGGATGGTACTCATCGTTCATCTTCCTCCAAACACAGTTAGTGGATTTATGACCAAAAAGTTCTATTTTGTGAGCGGATTATCTAAACACTGACTAAACCTTGTACATAAACGCAAACATTTAACAAAATTATGTTTATTAGAAAACATTTAAACATAAAAATTTATTCAAAATTAAAGAATAAAATGTTGTAATTACAAACTTGTGATACTATTGGTATTCAGAGGTTCTTTCAATAAAATTACAGATCTGTTGAAAGTAATCAAACAAAAAATCAAATGTCAGCACTGCTATAAAGCAACAGAAATTCTAAGACCATCATTTTCTTTCGTTAAAAACCTTAAACATTCACTTAGTACCAAATATATGCAACAATTAGGGTGACCATGTGACTTTTATAGGCTTGAAAGCCCACACATCAGGGTGTCCCATATGGACCAGGTCTTCATAGGGGGATGTGCTCCACTGGAAAGGTGGCACCTGGTCCCAGGTCGGCCCACTGACTGCCAGCATACCGTACTCCCTGAACATTTCGTAGGAAGTCAGCTGCAAAGGGACAAACATTAAAGTTAATCAAACCCAAACACTGTAAACAGATGGACAAGAAAATGATGTGTTTTCAGGAAAAAAAAAAAACTAAAAATAAATCAGTTTGTCAGAGACCTTCATGTCTGTTCCTCCATGTGGCCTCTGCTTTAAGGCACCAAACGGATATGTTCCATTTGCTGGGTTCAGGTCTGAACGGGCTGAGATTGCGTTCTCCCCATTCTGAGGTGGATCACATCCATCGCATTTTGAGAGTGGATCTTCTCTGAAGTTGTTATATCTGAAGAGATATACAGTTAGAGTCCAATTCTAATAAATATTAAAAGAGAACTTGAAGCTAGTCGTTTGGAAACGTCACCTCATCAGGCGCACCATGGAGTCCAAATCTTTAACATGAGTCTGGTTTCTCCTAAATATTTGAGCACGAGGATTCTGATCCAGAGAGAACCATGGGCCGAACTGCTCCACCAGCTTATTGCAGCCACTGGCATTAAATATCTCCACATAGTACCTATAATCGAGCAGATATGGACATAAATCGGACAAAAACAACACTGCTAAATATAGTAAAATGTTGCTGATTGTTTCCCACTTGGATACTTACGGTATGTTGTAACTAGCCCAGTAACCGCTCTTAAGGAGCTCCTGGGTCTTATCTTTGTAAACAATACGTCCCCTGCAGAATTACAAGATAAACATTACTCATTATAAATAAATGAGTTAGAAGATGTTTAAAAACAGTCAAATTTGTAGAAACAAGGCTTACGGAATCTGCTCCAACACAAATAAAAGTCCCTCTTTAATGTCAGTCTGTCCGGGTGTGAATTGGTTATAATCCACAATCATCCACTGGTTGTTGTACCTATGAACACAGATGTTAGTCAATAATGTACACAAACCTTTGATCAAACATGCCTTATAGATTTTCCTTTATTCTAAACCTGTAGGATTCAACTAACTACATCACAATTTCACTGATAAGACATGATTAGGCTGAGAAAACCCCTGAGCTTCATTTCATGTGACTTCACATCCTAATCAACACTTTCAGCCCTCACTTCACATGACAGGGTATAGGTGTTGCTCTTTTTTATGTTATATATACTATTATGTAATTATATGCAATAAGTGATTACAGGAGGGTTGCAAAACTTCTGCAAATAGTTAAATAAGTGTAAAATTAAAATAAAATGAATATTTATTACACATTAAGAAATTTATCACCAATTACTTAAGTATGCAGTTAAATTCTGAATATATTATTCACTATATTGTACGTATTGTAAGTCTTGTTTTTATATAATTGGATAAGTGGATTGTTTTTCACTTTGTAAAACTCACGTTCCACTGTTGTATTTGCTAAATATCTCCGCCCAGTCCTTGCTTGTTGAAGCCAACCGATTAGCAACGATGTTCCGCAGCCATTCCATTACGGTTCCTTTAGGCTGAACAAACCTCCAGAGAGCAGGATTACTGTTGCCAATGGTGGTTTCCAGTGTAACCTGCAGGGACAGGAGGCATTCAAAAGAAAACAAAGAACACAGTCATACTGGGAAGTTCAAGTCAGAACTTATTTCTATTGTCAGTGAGGCAAATTCTCACCAAGCCACTGCTCAGGATGTAGAAGTCATCTCCAGAAAAGATGGAACCGGGATATGATGAGAACGCCTGAGTTCCGCCAGGAAGTGCAAAGTTGTCTTCAAAAAAAAATAAATAAATAAAATAAGATTAAAAAAAAAAAAAACTTATTACAGAAATTGTATATTTTGATGACAACATGAACGGTTTGGAATCTTGAGAAATATACAAGCTGGCTTTAAGCATTTAAAATACTTTTTTAAATATCTCAAAGGAAATCCTCGATCTAGTACTGGATGTCTGAATAAACTGAAAGAATATGTTATTCAATTAATATCTATCAAGGGTTATATATATTTTCAGTCTTAACTTATATCTTGATTTAATTCACACAAACACAAAAAAATTACATTGTTGGATATTGTCATCTACTTTATATAACTACTAAGTATATTTAATAACCATGAAAGTCAAACTTAAGAATTCCTATATCAGTCTGATTTCAGGGTTTAAGTTTGAATGCCCATGATGAAAACAAATTTTGTTTCGTCCTACCTAAAGGGGATGTTTTGAAGGGGAAGATGTATTTCTTCATAACGCGCAGCATGGCCTGGTACGTGTTCCAGGTGTCATGTGACACCAGCAGATCTTTATTGTTGGGCAGGAGCTTAATGAGTGCAGAGCAGGAACCAGAGCCAAGGGGACGGGTTTGGCTGGATTTGTTCAGCGCCGACTCCAAATCTTCAAGATCTCCACCCATTTGGAAAAGTCTGGTTGGTGAAAAGTAGCAGTGGAGCATGTCAGATAACGGCAACATAAAAGTTCCTCTTTGCTCAGCTTTGAGAAGGAAAAACTAAAGTTAAGAGCTTACATGAAGCCAAAAGGATTGAAGGAGAAGCGCTCTGTAGGAAAGTGCAGCTGGTTATGGAATCCATCTTCCAGGCCTTTAAGCTGTAGTAGTGCCAGTCCCACCTGGAAATCAGAAAAGAATGGTGAACAATCCTAAAGAAATACAAGAGATAAGCTACAAACACAGATAATTTACCTGGTACCAGTAGGGTGAATTTGGCTCATTCTCCACTTGATCCTGAACCCACCGTGTGTTGGCTGAGATAAAAGCCTTGAGGCGCTCACAATAACTGGTTTCAGACAGGAAGGGCCCACAGTAACCCATTAGGGTGTTCATCCAGTGTTTATAAATGAGCTGAAACAATTATATGCATATCGTTATATAAAGAAAAACCTAACAAAATATGAAGCCTTTAAATCTGAAAGAGGACAAAGCTTACCTCAGATGTAGCTGCAGCCTCCACTGCACCAGCTGCATAAGCTTGAATGCTGTCATTGTAACGACTGCTGGTGGTGATCTCCAAAAAGGACCAACTGACATGAAAGCATGGCAGAGGGAATAAAAATAGAACTAATCAGAAGGACAGTAAATGTCTCTGTGCATGCTAATGCATACTCATAAATTTTCCTGATTAGAAATTAAAAACAATAATTTCACAGAATAAAACAACCCCTAATAGCTTATATCTATGGAGGTATTTCAAGGTTTTGATTTTAAATCTTTTTCAGACTTCGGTTAAAGGAGGAAAGTTCATTTTTGAGAGCAGAGAATGAGAGGGAGCATTTTGCATAACATTTATGGATATAATATTTGACTATAATAATCAAAGTATTAACTAAGAATTCCATCTTTTTTCATTAAACCAAACTGAATTATTTGTAAGGAATTAAAGTCCACATTTATAGATCCAGAAGATAGAAAGATCTGAAGTTGATCTCATAGGTTTCTTACTTCTTTACATTCATAAAACAAATGATTAGTAGTTTCCAATTGAGTTGTACAGAAACCAAAATTCCCAACGTTGAATTTAAATCCCTCTCTTAAGTACTCATTTGAAGGATATATGTCATTTATTATTTTAAATCGTAACTCTTTATATTTAGGAGAAATTGGGAATTTCAAATAATTTCCATTCAGTCATTGAAGCCAAAACTCACCCAAGGTTGATCGATTTATGCCTGAACTGACATTAATCTTTAAACTCACCCTGTTGTTTTGATATCATCAGTGAAGTTTGCCCAGGCAACAAAATCTTCATGAAAGCCTTCGATGATTGACAGCTGTCCGCTGTGCTTGTCTATGATGGCTGTGTGGATTTCTGCTCCACCAGACGGAAAAAAGATAAATACAACGAACAAAATTACAGAAAAGCTTGGAAGCTTTGGGAATGACTTCGGGACGATCATCTTGTTGTGCTTCGATGCCATGTTTCAGCGAAGAAGTCATGTGACACCAAAAGCTTGTTGTCACGTGACCACACCAGAAGATTTCAAAGTAAGAGCCTTTCTTTAAGGAAGTTAATCCAGATCTTCATACCATCTAAACAAAAGCCAAAAGTTCTACAAAAATAAATAAGTAAATAAATAATAATAGTATAATAGTAATATAATAATAATAA